CCCCCCGCCCAGTGGGATGGGGACAGAATTGGGGAAAGAAAAAGAAAAACAAAAGTAAAATTAGTGAGTTGAGATAAAGATAAGGGAAGTTTAAAAGGACAGCAAAGGAAGGGGAAAATAATAAAATAACAATAATAATAAAAGAATGTACAAAATTAATTATACATAATGCAATTGCTCACCACCCACCAAGTGATGCCCAGCCTGCTCCTGAGCAACGATCGCTGCCTCCCGGCCAACCCCCCCAGTTTCTATACCAAGCATGACGCCGTATGGTATGGAATAGCCCTTGGGGCAGCTTGGGGCAGCTGCCCTGGCTGTGCCCCCTCCCAGCTTCTCACTGGCAGGGCCTGAGAAGCTGACAAGTCCTTGACTAGCATAGCACTACTTAGCAACAACTAAAACATCAGTGCGCTATCAACAGTATTCTCATACTAAATCCAAAACACAGCACTATGCCTGCTACTAGGAGGAAAAAAACCCAAACAACGCTATCCCAGCCGAAACCAGGACACATCTCTGTGGAGTCTCTGGATGCCTCATGTCCCTCTCTGGGAGCGCACACAGCCTCTGGCACTCACCGAAGGCTAGCACGTGGGTCACAGGCAGCATCATGTCCCTCTTGGCTCCCTCCGTCCTTGGCTCAAGCAAGGTTTCTTCAGAGGAAGGCGTTGGCCGGGGACACTGAGAGCCGGGTGTCTTCTGGTGGGTCCTGATATGCCCTCGCTGCTACAAGTCACCTTCTGTCCCACGGCTTGGGTTTCTGCAGGCACAGCTGCAGGGCTGGGATGGTTGAACCACCACAGGTGTCCCAGGGCTGGGCACCTGCGACGACCTGATCTTAGGATCCTGTGGACCTTAGGAGAGAAGCTATCGGAGCTTTTGCTTGTGTTTCTTGACTCTCGTCACTTGATGGGGAAATGGTTTCCTCTCAGCCCTTGCGAAATAGGGTGGTGATGTGCAACAGGGGCGGGGAGAAGAGATAGTGCAGGACTCTCTCTGAATCTTGGTGAGAAACCTCCAACAAGTGGCATCATGAAATAGAGGTTTCAATAGGACGGAATAAAAAAGGGGACTATAGATAGCAAGTAAATCTTACATCCCTTCGGAGGCAGGGCACCCCACTTTCCTGCAGCATTGATGAACCCCAGGTGTGGGGGGTAAATGCGCAATGCTGCACAAATCCCATCTGTGAAGACGTGCCCAGCATCTGAAGGGGTGTAAGATTTGCTTGAGATCTATATTCTTCTTTTTTTTATTCTATGTCATTAAAACAGATATTTTATTACTCCATTTGTTGTCAGGCCTTGCTCGCCGAGGTCCGGGAAGACCTCTGCACCATGTCGTGCGCCCTCGTCATGCCCAGAAGCCCTGCGCGGTGCCCCCGCCGCAGTGCAGACCAGGGGATGGAGGGGAGAGGACACTGGCTCCAGCCATAGGCTATGTCCAGGCCGTGCTCTTCCCGACGCCTGCGGGGCAGGATTGGTGGCTCCACAGGGTGGAATAGGAGGGAAGTGACTTGGCTTCCCTTCTGGCTTCTTCGGGGGCTGTTTCATCCCACCTGGCCTATAGTGTCTTTCACTGGAGGAGGCACAGCAATATCTCCTATCTGTAGGTCTGAATCCACCCCACCGGGTTGGCCCCCTTCCTCGTCCACCCAGGCCTCCCCGGTCCTATGCAGAAGCAATGTAAGGTCCTTACGCCAAATAACTGCTCGCATCCACCACGCCTGGAGCCTGACTCCGGCCTCCTCAGCTGCCACCTACTCTGGGTTGGCCAGTGGTGTAGACGGAGCAATGACGAAGGGTTAATTAAACAGGGGAAGTCGCTTTGCCCCTTTGGGTGATGTGGGAGTGAGGAGAGCAGGGAAAGGCTGGGTTGTGGGCCTGGAGCTGTGTAGGACAGGTGGCAGGTTGTCCAGGGATCCCACGCTGCTGAAGGCTGCGGCATCCGTAGCTCCTTGCCCTCCTGCAAGCTGCAGGCAGGCACGTCCTGCCCTCCTCTGACTGTGCGCAGGCCTCTCTGCCATAACTCGCCCCAGCAGGAACAAAACCACAGGGCTGAGGGCTAGGCAGATGGTGTTTATATGGCTGTAATCTAGAGGAAAAGGCAAAGCGGGCACGGACTGCTCCAGGGCTCTGGGCTGCCCCACATGGTCCCCGCCTAGACCCTCTCCACCCTTTTCTTTCTTCCCCCTTCAGCCCTTTTGGTCTCCCTTGGAAATATCATGGGGTAGGAGAAGTTTTGCAGCAGGGTGCCTTGTGGCCTTCTTTTCCGGGGCACCTCTTCTGGCCCCGTCTCCTGTCTAACCCCATTTGCCTCCCCCAGGCTTGACCAATTCCTGGATCTCCTTGAACAGACATGTCCCAAAGTCCCCCCCTACCCCATAGTCCCACAGGTACCCATCACCTCATATACATCTGAACTGCCTGCACTGTCCACACTGGACTGAGGGACACCCAACTGCTCTGGCCTCACCAGCGCCTGGGGAACAACCCCCCGGCTCACCCTGCTATGCCCCGGCTAGCGCAGTCCAGGACAGAGTTGGTGGCATTGCCACGGGGCCCGTCCATGGCCCCGTCCGAAGAGAAGGCTGCGGGGAGACCTTAGTGCGGCCTTTCAGT